CGGCGGTGGCAACGAAGACGATGCCAGCGTTCCCCAGACGCAGAAAGAGGAAAACGTCGCCGACGCCGACGCCGACGCGGAGGCCGAGGGATTGGAAGAGGGAACAGACGGGAAGAATCCATCCGGGGACGGCGAAGCGAGCGACGCTGCGAACAGCAGCAGCAACAGCAGCAGCAGCAATCCGGGCACGCAGCACGACCCGCTACCGGCGACGAGCGAACCCACCGCGGCGCCCGTGGCACCCACCGCCGTCCCCGAGGAGAAGAAACAGAAGAAGAAGAAACAGCCAAAGCCCCCGCTCCCCCCCACGGCGGCGCCCACTCCCGGCCCCGACCCGCTCCCCCCCTGCAAGAGCCTCGCCGGCATCSAGGGAGTCTCGTGCCGGCTGGGCCTCCCGGTCTCGACCACGTACACGCTCGTCGGCCTGGCGGTGCCCTGCGGCCTGCTCCTCCTGGCCTGCTGCCGCTGGATCTGCAGGCGCACGAGGAGCAAGCCGCACGGGGAYTCCGCCCGGGGGGAATACCGGGCCATCGCCACTACCTACTACGGCGACGCCAGCTTCGACAATGCCTTTTCGGAAAACTTTTCGGACGACGAGGAGGAGGACGGCTACGAAGAGGACTCCTCTTGGAGCAACAGCGGGAACGGTGGGCGCGTCCTGGAAATGAGCGGCCTGGGGAAGCACAAACAGGGCGGGCACCACGACGACGGTTTGTCCCTGGAAGAAATGAATGGATAGGACGGAAGGGTGGATGGAGTCGTACGTTCCCGCTGCGTGCAGTGCTTTGACACGATGGTATGAATACAAATAGTCCTGTCTAGCAGGAAGCGTCGTGACGGATTCAGGCGTTCGAGACGACCGGAACGGGTTTCGTTGCAACTAAGTTGTTCAGCCTTACTGTATTTATACTGTACGCGGGAAAAGAAAAGTAGTTTTTGAGAAGTTTTGTAGTTTCCTACAGAAAACATTTTTCAAGCGACTCAAAGATAGGCATTGTTGCAGATTTTTCTGATAATAGAATACTGAAAATTTAACTATACAGGATGTTGCTAGGAATGCTTTCAATCAAAATCCACGGCTCCATCACCCCAGCTTAGTAAATAAAACTCATGATGCGTCCGCGGTGTTGCGCCTCACCAAGTTGCCCCACTGCTCGGTCTTCAAAAAATGTCGCGTCATCGGATAGTTCTCCCCGKCGATAGGATAACTCATTCGCAGTCATCAGATTCAAACCACTTGCTTTTCGTATGCGAGAATCATTGGAAGTGGCACCCATCGCAATGCTGCCACAAGAAGCTCCTTGCCGTCTTCTAGAACGCAGTCGAGACAAKGTGTCACCAAGTCCTCGTTCTTGGTTACTGACATGACTCCCCTTCGAACGCTGGTGACCACCACTTGCAACGCTTGCATCCCGCCTTGTCGAGCTGGAAGGTCCACCTAGCTGTAATATTTCATGCTCGTTACCAATTCGATTCATAGCCTTTCCTGATGCGAAAGATTTATTTAGCGTGACCCCCATTACAGATTGAACATTAGATCCACGAACACACAAGGAGTGATGAGCCTTTTCCATTTGGTGAGAGTCATAGTGAAAAACGTTGACAGCACCACCGAACACATCCAGTTCTTGACCGTATGTAATTAGAAGGCTTTCAATCATTTCCCGAACCTCTCCGAGACGACTCCCAGAATGGTCGGACGTCACCTTCCGAACTAAGTCGGGAAGGGGGACGCTGGATACCATGCGTTGCATTGTCAAACGCAAAAGTTCACTAAGAACACCTGCCATAACTTTGGCATGGGTGGGCTGCTCTTTCGAGAGACGAAGAAATCCTTTTGCATTGATGAGACGGTCCAGAACATTGAACCAGAGCTGCGATCCGTGCTCAGTTTCACTTCGGCTAGAAAAGCTTCCCGAGTTCCGCTCGCAAACATCAAGGGCAACAGTGAGAATCTTTTTCAGGCCTTCAATTTCCTTTTCTTGCTTTCCGTACAACTCAGGATTAATACAGTCGCGTTTCGATATTCGGGTGTACTTCGAGTGCCGTGGGTAGTACTTATTGAAAGTGTCAGTGCTTATCCCCCGAATCGTCCGTTTGAGATTCATCATTCGGCTTTCCATTGTTTGCAGTATGAGCTGCAATGCACTTGTCACATTTCCCATACGTTCAAGCAGATATGCCGATGCATCTGCAATATCATATTTTTGACAGAGATGGAGACATTCTTCCGTACGATAATTATTGTGTGTCGAGAGGTAGTCGTAGACCATATCAGGGTAGAGTTTGGCCATGAGACCCATGTATTCTTGGTGATGTTCTGTGGTCAATTGTGCATTCAAGACGGATCCTGCAACGGAATCCATTTCATATAATTCTCCGGATATAACTGCTTTGAGGAACATGAACTTTGCTTCCTCATCCTCTAAGCTTCGAATTACTAAATCCGGATCGTCCACAAAGAGGTCAGCAGCGAGCTCTGCGGTCAACAATGGATCGAGAAGAACCAGGTCTATCAGCTTTGTAATAAGCGCGTCGCGCAACGTATTGGGCTCCTTCTCTTCGTCAGAGGCGCCACTGCATTCCTTCTTGACGTAGGAAAAAACTTCTTTGCGAAAGTCAAKATCGTCGTCGTCTAAGTAACAATCGATAGCTGCGCAAAAATGTTTAGCTCGTCGTTCCATGGTCATGTTCCCATGAGGCCATACTGAAGCCTCTTCTTGGTGCAAGAGCAACGAAGCTCGATGAATGCCAGACTTCTCAACAAGTTTCAATACCTCGTCGCTATCATAAGAGCTTCGTGGCAGAGCTGATAAAAGGGCAATAACTTGACCTTGCCARTTCTTGCGGTCTTCGGAATCTCGAGCCATATTGTACCTCGTAGCCATTCGGTTAAGAATCATGAACGTAACCGATTTATCAGTGCGAATAACTCCTCTCATGAGATAATCAGCCAAAAAATCCAAGAAAGCATTCAGTGCAGATTCTGTTCGATATAGTGTTGTTTGGTGAGTGATCATGATATCCGCCTTTGAAGGCATCATGATGGAAAGCAGCATGGCAATGATTTCTTGTCGGGCTGGTGCACCTGTTGTGCTGCGRCTGCTAGTGGCAGCATTTTGTACACTGTTCTCTCCCCCAACTTCTACTTCCCACCCACCGATGGATTCGATGCCGGAAGTTCCATTGGTATTAAATTCTTTGTCCGGAGCATCCATTGCGGTCGAAAGCGTGTCAAACATCGCCTTGGGGTCCACCATTAACAAAATATGGGCGTAAGGATATCGCAAAGCACGCTGGCCGATTACCTGGGCCGGTGCACGAATGCTTCTACTCGGCTTATACCGGGATTGCAACAAGAATTTCAAAAGCTGCGGCCGAACAGTATGGACGGTCTCTTCTGCCATTGCCGTGCCTTTTGGAAAGTTCTTCCCACTAAAAATGTTCTGCAGATAAAGTATTGCTTTGTATCCAAAGCGTTCGAAATCATTTTGGAATACTCCATCGATTCTGCGTTCGTTTGTTATTTGTCCAAGAGTGTCTGCCGCATCGAAAATACTCTCGCACAAAATTTCTAGCGGAGTCGTGTAGTCCATCAGTCCCTGGTTGTAAATGTAGAAAAGAGCAGAATACATTTCATTTGCTCGAAGTAGATTCAGTATCGTATCGAAATCCATGATGGTCACATCCATGTGCAACAGGCACCTCTCRACGGTGGCTATGCCGTTATTGGTTCGGCAATGCTCCACAAAATGCATCATAGCTTCAGGAGCAATGTAGTTYAGCTTATCATTCAGGATGTATGGTTCCAGTACGTCCAAGAAGACGCTCAAAAAGCCGGCGGAATGGAAGCGGCGGAAAATCGGACCATATAGCAAGTCAAGACGCTTTGTCACGACACAAAATTCCACACAAACACCGGCCAGCATCTGAAAGTGCGACCGAGCAAGATCCATCTGGGATTCTCGAATTTCTGGTGGGAAGTTGAAATCGTTGTTCGTTTCGGGAGCATTTTCCACRGCAATATTCAAATACCGAATCAGCAGTTTGGCAATCCATTCTTCATCTTCTGTCAGACTATCGCCATTTCTAGGTTGCAATCCGGGATGTTTGGACAAATCCTTTTGTCGATCGCGTTTGCGGTCTTCTTGCGATTTGATCGTGTTCTCGTAGTGGTCGAGTGCTAGAGCGAGCGCTTCCAGCCATTCACCATCGTTTTCCAAACCCGAAATCCGCGGACGCGCTCCAACAACAGAAACACTTCTGAGTTCTCCCTGGCAGAGCAAAAGAAGGCGCTTGTCGCAGGAACGAAACGAATTTTGAAACGTTGTACAGAAATAGGTTTCARTCTTTTGTTCTTGAGAAGCATCATCTTCCTTTTTATTTTCCGATTCGTTCTCATCTTCGTCATCGTATTCCTCTTGCTTCGCCAAAACAACCTTTCGGCTGAGGGAGAATTCGGCATAGACTAGTTTMAGATTGGAGAAATCTAGTCGYTCAAGAAGGGTCATCATCACCGTATCCACAACCGTGAATTCATTGTTCATGGATAAGTACACTAGTGATCGATCATTAAGCCATTCCAATGCAACAATCGGCACATCCACGTCGAATTCATCATGCACTCCGAAGGCGGGGTATTGAAAACCTTCGCTGGCTGCTCCTTGCGAAGTAGAACTTTCTCCTGAATCAGGAAAACTTGGTCTTAATAACTGGATACAGCAGCCCCAGGCTCTTGCCAAAATCGGATTGATCACGTTGCCCCCACCATTCACGAGAGCCCACCCCCACGAGAGACAAGGMAGATAAACTTGCTCGGTTCCCTGAAGACGTTTKCCCTCTATGCGATCATCATCGGGTTTTAACCATCGATGAAGGACCTGAACTGTAGGTTCGACAGCGACCACGAAGGAATTCCGTTCGCTACTCATCGCAATCAGAACGAGTTTTTTCATGGTCGACCTGAGCTTTTTAGCGGCACCCTCGCTAGAGGGGTTAGTCTTGTCCTGCTGCTTGTTCTGCTGAAGTTGAAGTTGCTGCTTAATATACTCGTATGGTTGCAAAACATCGAGAGCCAATATCTGTCCTGCTGTCCCGTCGAGCAAACAATCTATTTCAACCCCATAGGTCGACCACAACATGTTCTTGGAAAAGCTGAGTTTGTTGACCAAACCACCAGCATCGACAGTGACTAACTTAAGATCGGCCGAAAAGAAGCGCACACTAACCATTGGCGAGGGATATGGCGAATTGTTGGTCTCGACGACACTTTTGAGAGGAATACCCCTAATAATATCCCACAAAACAACGTTTCCGCCAGTATATCCAGCCGCCAAAAATTCTCCTTGCACTAAGCTTAGATCAAGCGTGGTGACAGCCCCAGCAAGTTTTGGATTGAATGAATTATCACCTCCAGCTCCGATCCCTGAGGAATTGCTCGTCGGATCGTCTCCAGCGGATGTCATGCGCTTGGCGCCACCAAGTATCTGTCTCAACACCTCGAAGTGGTCGTACACAAGAATAGCCCCAGTTTGTGTCCCGATGGCAACAAAACGGGAATTGATTCCCACCGCCGTGGGTAGGTCTTCATCGTCCATACTCGCATGGCAACGTTCTACAATGCTTTTGGATACGCTTTGCATCTGTTTCATACTAATAACTCCACCGGAAAAATTAAAGTATGGTCCAGAGTTATTGCTGCTCCCATTCGAATTTGTGTTGCTGGCTTTGGTTGCTGCCTTTGCAGCTTTATCATGTTGCAGTTGTGCCTGTCGCTGAGATTTTGTATCTAAATCAATCTTAGGTTTGAGYCGGCGTTTAACGGTAAGCGGCGATACAATATTGTCTCGTGCCTCACGAGTTGACTTCAGGAGCTTGGCCTCTTTSGCCCGGGCTACCTGCAAAGCCTTTCGCGAGGCCTTCTCTAATTCGATACCCGATGAGGCGATCAAGGCATTGCTCTTACTACCGTTTGTTTTCGTTTTGCTTCTCTCTCTAGTCTTCGAGTGCTCCTTTCGCCTTGAAGGTAACGATGGTGGAGGAGGAGKCGGCTGTGCACGCCCCCCCACAATTGAATAATCGTTCTTTTTGTCGGATGACAAYTCCGAATCCTGGGACTGTATTGCTGTCGCAAAGCTATCGACATTGCCCACATCCACTAGATCATCGGAATCGCTATCACTATCTATGCAATCATCAAGATTTTTCTCTTTACTCTTGCTGTAGTTGTTGTGAGTGTACTTRTACTGCTGTCGAAGCCTCATCATTGAGGAGGAAAAATCCTCATCATTTTCTTCGCCAAAGATATCTTCTTCGTCACTCGATTGCTGGAGAATCAAGTCAACCTGACTTTGATTTTGCATCGCATATATATCGTTGCTTGTTTGGCGTCCAGCATTTCGTTGCCCGGCAGGAACCAGAACGGGTTCTTCATCGTCATCGCCGTATTCGCCACCATCGTTGTAACCATACATGTAGGAAGACGATGCTTGTGATCTATATTCGCTGCCTCCGTAATCATCATCGTCGTCATCACCTTCGTCTTCTCCCAGAATAGCTTGCAGGATATCCCATTCTTCCGCCTGGCTCATGTTGCTAACAGTGTTGTTGCTTCGAGCCGAAGACACTCTGCGGGACGAAGACAGTCCTTTTGGCCGAGGAATCCTCTCATCCTCCAACCCCCTTTCGGATCTTCTTCGGTCATACATCGACCCTCCACTTTCTCCGCCACTGCCAGTGCTTCTGGTAAACATTCCATCCTCTTCCTCGTCATCCTCGTCGTCGTCCTCTCGCAAAATCCGTTCAAGATCTACCGCGTCTTCGGATCCAGCTCCTCCATCTAATCCTCCGCCTCCATAGTGATTRTAAGTGTAGCTGTTGTACGTCAAAGCCGAGTGTGAATTGGAGTTATGCGACCGATTATTTGGCGAGGAGTGATTTCCACCCGAAAACGATGACGAAGAATCGTCTGATGAATCCAAAATTGCTTGGAGATCCATGCTCTCTTTCTTCTCAATACGATGCTATCGTTTTCTTTTCTTGTTTTGCTTGCGTCTGTMGCTATTTCTCTGGCTGAGTTGTCGTCACGTCTTCTTCGCACGTGTTTATTCCGATAGGAGAGACAARATGCTTAACTGTGTTGCCATGAGRCGTTTCGAAATCCCGAGAGCGCTTTTTCACGGTAAGGTACTGGCATAAAAGATGTTGTAACTCGCAGATGAAATGAGGGTTTTTTTGAATAAAAACTTTGCTTGAAAAAAGATCAACAGTCTGCCGTACGGTAACGTACTCGTAGTCTACGGTACGTACTCGTACTCGTACTGTCACCGTCCTGTAAAGAACGAACCGACGAATAGTAGAAACTGTCAGCCGACACCAGGCCAGGTTGGACTACCATAGCATAGGTACCGGCCGGTACAGTACAGTGCCGTACCGTTCACTATTTTTACGTATGTGTTCGTTCTCGTACTTACCGGCTGTACAGAATTGTGGCACGTCTAGCCGGTTGTTTTTAGTTTTATMAACGGTACGAAAAGCATTGCAGGGACGAGGCAGGCGCAGTCCCGTTAGAACAAGATTCATCCATCTCAACGAAAAACGAAACATCATAACATGCAGACGTACCGTACGTACCTACGGTATGGTACGATATCCAGTTCTTCCTCCGTCCCAAAATGAGAGTCCCCTAAGGGACTTACTTTGTACTATCGAAATAAGCTCAATTTTTGGTCAACTTTAATGTTTTTTTTGCCATACCACTGCACATGCACAGGTGTTCATCATAGGGTTTTAGAGAAATTTAGGCTTTCATTTAGAGTACAGATTGATCTTTTTCAAATTGTTCAAAAATGTATTTGAGAAACTAGTACTGTACTACTACTAGTCAAATCAGAAATTTTCATCTATCTTCACTTCTTGCAACWAATGACATTCTATGTTTACTGAAAAATGCTCTTTTGACATGTGAATAAATCTCAATCCTTGTTATCAGCCAAATATATTGCTGGATTCTTACCAATATAAAAGTATTATCCCAAACTCTAAATTAATGCCAAAATATATGTAAAATGCTATTTTTGATCAAAATGAAGACCTGTGGCTGGGCCCTGCTCCTGAACCCATGATGTGWGCATCCGCCCTTTGAAATCCACCATTTGGGGAAATGATCTCRTGAATATTTTTTCCATGACACAACAAACACTTTAGAAATGTGGGTTSTTMTTWTTYWYMAMAAMWA